GACATGGTTTAGTGGGCATGGTGGTGTTGGGTTGACGGTTGGACTCGATGATCTTAGAAGTCTTTTCCAACCTTAATGATTCTATGATTCTATGATAGAGCCAGCTTCACAATTCATCAAGCTTTATTTTTTGTTGTTGCTGTTTTTAAAAATCATGCACAGAAAATGCAGTAAGAATCTTCCCTGCTGGTGTGTAAATCAATCCAGAGCTCCTGCAATTGGCCATGGGCAGATGGCCTTCTGCAGAGGCAGCTTTATCTGGTGTAAGATCCAGCCCTCAGCTGCTTGTCACCACCTCTCTGCCTGAGACAACTAGCCTTGCAGACCTGGTGGTGCAGATAATCACATTGAGTGCTTCCAAAAAGGCAGTTGGGTTAACTTATGCTGATTAAACGGGTCATCTGATCTAATCCTGCTGATTTTCTACCAAAAGAGTGAAGATGAGTTCTGTCTGCAGATCCTCTCCCAAGGTAGAAGAGACATTAGCAGTAGCTCACAGAAAGAACCTCTTCCACCAGCACAGCTGTCTTTATAGTGAGCATATGTCTACAGCTTAAAATGCAGATCCATCTGTCATTCTGATCAATGGTGTTCCATTAGAACATGTTAAATATTTCCCCTATAGGTAATCCATATAGGCATGAAGTTGCCAGTGCTCCAACTCCTGGAAGAAGGCTGTGCACTGTCGGGGCAGCACACATACTTCCACGTACGTAGTTCATACAGAAAAGAGCAAAATGCCTTCTTTTTTTTTTTAATTAAACTTCTCTGCATCTCTTTCATGGGAGACATTTTTACACAGAGAGCTCCTGTACTGTTCCAAACACTTGCAGACCATGAATTACGCATCACGCATACAAAGAGTGAAAAGCTTCAGAGACAGTTTTCAGCCACCTCAGCAATGTATAAACAAGATCAGAAGCTAGCAGGCTGTCCTGTGACTGAAGTCCTTTAAGCGCTAACTAGCTCTCGTAGGACCTAGCCAAGTAGCTCTGGAGATAAAAAGAACAAGAAGAAGAAGCAATAATAGCTGCTGACCATACATTTGGGAGAGAGGAAGGGGGGGCTGCATTCAGAAGCCCAGATTACACTCTGCAGCTCTTCAAAGAAATGGGTTTGGGCAGCAGTAGACCTTTGCTCCTCCTTACCTCTCCACAAGTCCCGCCAACATACTGACAGGCTGGTGTCTCTATTTCCATGTCTTCAAGAAAACAGACGTCCTCTTTGTGGATGGTCTTTGCCTCCAACCTTGCCTTCCCCAGTGTAATGATGGAGACTGGGCTGGTCCATAAAACAGAAGAGTGAATTTGTTCATGAATGATCATGTTTCTACTATTCTACATCTTGGGTAAACACTAGTTCTCTTCCCAAAGGGATGTAGCCTGAAGTTTGATGGCAGATAAAAGTCATGAATAGTGTAGGAAAAAATAGTGGTGAACAAAGAAAGATACAGCCTTTGTAGACACACAGTCTTACAGATGTGGCAAGGGAAACAATAAGTGGCAGTCCATTTTAAGGCAGTCTATAATTGTGACTATGAAAGAAAGCTTATGTTCTGTAACGTTCTGCCCAGGTATGGCTACCATGGAGAACCTGATTCCAAGTTATCTGAATTGAGTTCAGCTGAATTATGTACCTGTTGAGTCTTCCACTTGAGTAGTAATACTGTACTGAAGACATTTTTCCACCACATTTTTACTTTTATTAGCATTTACTAAACAGATAGTTGCGGGAGGGGAGGACAATGCGACAACTGTTATTTCAAACCTTTAAAATAGTCTTTTCCATCCAGCACACATATTTGGTTTATGCCTTACCTATTTCTTCTTATCCTTCAGTTTCCTAAGTTTGCTGAAGAAAAGGGTCAAATATACTATCCAAATCCACCAAAGACAGTCGCCCCCAACTCCACTTTTAAAGAGCTAGAACATAACCTCTCTCCAAGAACAACCAATATGCTACAAAACACTGAAAGGGCTCTGGGGATCACAACATACAGTCGGGACTTCACAGATAAGCATTTTTTGTTAAATTAGTTTACTTGGGGTCGCAATGAAAGACCACAAAGTGTTAGCCCCTAAATTTCTCAAAGAAATTAATTTTTTTGTCATTTAGTAACAAAGGCCAGAAAAACTATAAATTATCTGAGGTTTTTCAGGGGGACTGTGCATTAATTCAGATTTTTCTAACCAATAAAAATGTATGACAATAAATATGTCTCCATTAAGGAAGAGGTCCTATGAATTCCCTTATCCTGGATAACTATTACATAAAAGCAGCTGGCAGATTAACTGGAGAATTAGGTGAAGACATGGAACTAGTAAGTACTGCATTTACTAAGAATCTTATGCTTCCACCACAACTAATACTGGCAAGAGTATTACCAGATTCAGCTAGCAGAATTAAGCCTTCCCTTTGATAATACTTAAGCGCAGGGCAAGGCTCACTCTAAAACAGAGGCAAAAGTTCAGTATACTAAATCAGTCCTGACACAGCTGGTTGACAGAACTTCTGTAATGGATTAATGACTTGTTCAGGGTTTGCAGGGGGGGAAGTTATTGTGATTATCTGCTTATTTTTTATCTTATCATTTAAAGTTGCCACCAACACGACAGCAATTCAAACGACCTTTTGCCTTGAGAAGTATGAGTAACAGTCTCCATAAAACGAGCTGGCAGCTCTCATGTGAATGGTGCACCACTGCAGAGACTGAAACATATTGGCTAGATGTTCAGCTGATGTTAATCAGGACAACCCCACTGGACTCATCAACTTACTGTCTTTACTGCACACTGTTTATTTGATAAGTGACTTATTACCATTGCAGACTATTGCCTCCTTACTAACTATACCAGTTTAAGTTTGGCAGAGTTTCTACGATTCATCCTCCTCCATTTACATGAGTGATTTGCCTTTCTTCCTTAAGGGTGCATCAGTAACATTATCATATTCTATTTTAATGCAAAGATTTACTCTAAAGAATGTATAAAACTATATTGTAAAACTCCATGTTTATTGTCTTCAACAATTTTTATGTACTGTGTGGCCTGTATAAAAGTGAAAAGATACTATTTGTATTAAATTCTACTCATGCAAATGAAGCATAACATGGTATATATGCATAGCAAATCAAGTTGAGCTGCTTTTTGCTAATGCATCATTACCTGTAATGGCTTAAGCCATTCAGTGACACCTGCACATTGTCATGCAGAGTACATACACACATCTAATTTATTCTAACTGACTAAGCAATTCTGCAGGTAAACCAGAAGGAATGGATTCCTGCTCACCCTTCCACAGCACTGCTGGCTTTACAGCATTTGCGGGTTCAAACTGCACAGAAATACAAGAAGCAGGGCAACTAAGTAAGATGCTGTCATTTTCTTATAGTCCAAAAATGGCCCTGGATAAAAAGTCCCCAAAATGTCTTGCTTTCTTTCTATTGGATTAAAAAAAAATCCAAGTAAGGAAATCCTTTTTGAAATGGCATTTACAAGTTTCTGATAATTGAATCCCTGTACCTGATATGGAAAACCTGTCTAGCTTTTTCTCCAGTGTGATGAAGAAACAAATGTTTCACTTCATGATGATGAACACTTTAAAGAACACTTTCAACAGCTCGTCTCTGGAAATTAAAATCCAAATTAGCAGCTTACATTAATTCAAAACTGAACAGTTTTATTGCCCTCTGGCTTCCAAAGTGTGATTGGCAGAGGCCTACCCTGGGCCATGCTGATCTACCTGAACAACATTATTCCACTTAAAGCATATATACGTTAAATATCAAACACTTGGATTGTTCAGCACAGTAACTGTTGAAAAACATTCTCTGGCTATAGGACTCAAATGTACTTATGTTTGAACAGTTCCTATAGAATGCGGCTTTGACTCTGCACCAGTATCTGAAGCCTCAACAGTACAAATGATTAATACAGGGTAACAGTATTCAAGCAGTGGGTCAAACTGTGGTTGAGAAAGCTAAAAAGCCACATGCCAGTGAGCATCCTCAGTCCCACTTGCAACAGTTCCTAAAAGAAGTTAAACCACACTAATGCAGGTCACCGTTTATACTATCATGTTGCTTATGAGACCACAAATGGGAAGACAGATGCTTATAGAAGAAAGCAGAACAGAGCACAAGACATCTATACCCGTCTATATCTTATGCATTGGGGTGGAGCAGAATATTTTCTTTTCCAAAGCATAAAGACTGACTCTAAGCTCCCTATGAGGCAGGGCGGTAATGAATGTTTGGGCTGCTTTCCTTTGCCTGGGAGACCCCTAACTGAGCCATTTCACTAGTTTCAGGCAATGATCTGCTAAAATAAGCAGTTCCTGCTAAAATAAGACTTAGATGACAGTGTAAATCCTGTTACTTCCTCCATATAGAAAAAAACATTTCTGCCTAGTCTCTCACAAGTGAGACCTCTTGAAGGGTGCACTGCATGTTTACTTCAAGGTCAACGTCCCCATGAATCAATTCTGCAAGAACAGTACTCCTCCAGTGTTCAGATGCCTCCGCCTTTATTCAGCGTTCCTACTGCAGTAGCTGGCTACTCAGCCACAATGCTGAGTAAAATAAAACCACTTGCCAGTCTAGGTCAGCAGCGTAAAGTGACAGAAAGCCCAGACGAGAAACGGGATGTGAGCCAACAGCAGGCCACTCTGTCTCAGACATGCTACCAGAAAGTTCATTATCTGGGTACAAGGCCGCCAATAAACAAACTTCAGGAAATCACTGACACACTGCAAACAGAAGCATTGTACAGGGGGCAGCTTTCAGGCAGGCCTGAACTTGAATCCCTTACAAAATCTGCACGTTCCCTTTCCTACAAAGACTTCAAGCCCAGACATTTGGATCAACATACAATATGGGAAAACCCAGTTAGTCCGAGTAAGCCAGGCTTACCACCGGATGTAAAGAGTGAGGAAAGTAGAATTTTGTTGCACAAGCTTTGGCATCAAGAAGCATGTCAACCTGCATGGACGGGCCAAGAGAGACAGCACTGCCTGGATGGATCCCTAGCTGTGAGGTTCCCTGGCACCAGACAGCACTGCTGGAACTGCAGTATTCCTTCTCTAAGACAGCAGCACAAAAACGTTTTCATGATTCCACAACAGGAGACAAAAGACCTCAGAGATAACATTACTGAGGGAAAGAGACACAAATTCTATAGTTTCAATGCTTTTTATTTCTTTAACTGACACATTCCTTGGTCCTTTAAAAACAGAGTAACAAATTAAAAGTACTTCAGTACAAACTGTCTGTCCTTTCCTAGAGAACCACAATAAATTCAAATAGTAAAGAGAAGAGCAGCTAGGGTAGCTCAGGACATGTGCAGCCGTCTGAGAAGACTAGAAGAGCTTGTCTTGGTCTAGAGGCTGTGAAAACACGACTTTTCTTGAGAAACACATTAGTGGGATAAACACTGGTTACGGAAACAGCTGGTTTGTTAAAGGCCAAATGGATTCACAAATGAGCGTTACAGTCTGACTGGGAATAAACTTAGGCTGGGAATCACAAGATGATTTTTAATGGTCACAGCAGGGAGGTTCAGGAATAGCTCTTCAATAGATAAGGAGAGGATCAGAAAACAAGCTGCTTCAGAATGGACCTGGCCAGTTTATGAAAGGAGCTATGACATGGTTGCCAGCAACAGCTGCGGATCATAGTTACTCACCCAATAAGGCCCTTTGCAGGCGCTCACAAGCACCAAGCTTCCAGGTCAAAAGGACCCTCTGCTACTCTGCAGTCAAATGCCAATAATGTCAGCGCTACCATGCACACGCAGGGACAAACATGATGCTCATGAGCTGTGGAGTCTCTTTGTCTGTGCACAGCACATTCCCAAAGCCTCCATGCTCTAAGGTTGACCGTGGCCTCTCCAAGCCTACATTCCTATGTCAGACCTATTGTGGCTTGTATTTCAGACTCTTCCCTTTCCTTTTTTACTCATTGTCTAAGACAGGAATGTTTAAGAGAACTGGAAAGGCCATAGAGACTGTATTTAAACTGCAGTGAAGACTGGTACAGGGAGAATGGGATTTAGCAATCCCTGCAGGGCTTTGAAGGAGCTTTAGAATGAAGCAGGTGAGCTACAGAAAACATGTAATCTGTTATTAGGAGTTAGCTCTAGATGGCTGCAAGTGGTCAATATAGTAGCTAAGGATTAATAGCAGGCATTAACTTGTTGGTTATAAAAATAGTTAAGAGCAAGAGATAGGGACAGAACAGCTCTGCTGCTGTGTTGTGCTTACTGAGCTGTTTAGGATTCCTGAAAAATGTGAACAAAAACCAACCAAACAAAAAAGTACCCAAATGCAATATATTTAAACATCTTAAATCATTTTTGTAAGCCTTTTGAAAATAAGAAAGCAGCAAAGGAAACTTTAGTGGAAAGCTATCTGATGGATTAGCAACTGGCTTTGCAAACAGAATGCAAAGAATAAGCTTAAATTGCTATTTTCTGTGTGCTGACAGATTAATATTGCTGCTACCCAAAATTCAGAAACATAGCTAATATTGGTTCAATGAATATCTTAAGGAGCTGCAGCCAAGTGGGGATTAGAGAAGCGAAAACAGCACATAGGCATTCATTGGTTTTTTTTAACTGCTTAATTAAATGAGGGATTATTCAGTTGTTTCCCAGAAAGGACCTGAAGAGGGAGCAAAATGCCATTGTATTTTTCATTGAGAGTTTTTTCATTGCAGTTTTCTAAGCTGTCCCATTAAGAGATCAGATAGACTCCCCTCTCCCTTCAAGCAAATCGCCAGAGTTCAGGAGACTGCCAGGATCATACACTGAATATACGGCTCAAACAACCATGCTTCCAGCTAGTCATTATCCACTGGATTTTCCTTTACAGGAAGAGATACTAGCAAAGAATCATGGCAGAAACATAAATCCCTGATTATTTTATTCATGTGTGAGGTCTTCAGGAGGCCAGTCAGGACACAGTGCCCCAGCAGCGCACTATTTTCCGTGCAAGTATTCAGAGTATAGAGGGCTCAGTGGCTACCAAGAGGATATAAGGAAAATGATGTGACAGGAGTCAGAGATCTTACTTTCCATTAGGAGAGGATACTCACTTTCCATCCCACCTTTACACATCTCAGAAACAAAAAGACTTCTGATTCTTAAAACAGAGATGATTAATGCTTTTATTAAGACACAAGAAGACTACAGGAGACTATCTAGAGGATTTAGTACAAAAGCAACTGAGCAGCATAATAACAGATTAAATTTAAAAGTGAAGTATGAAGAAACATACTGTTGAAGACAACTTAGCCACAAATGGTTTTTAAAAAAGTTGTTACCTCCTGGAGGAACAATTTCAAAATAAGTGCAGACTCCTGCGTTTTGCTCTGCCTCTAGCATCATTCAGGAGAGATTAATGTTAAGCTGCAGAGAAGACAGAATATTATGTTATTTCATAATCCTTGTGTATCTTGCATTTAGTTTTGTTCAGCACATTTCAAAAGTAACAAAAAGCAAAAAAGTCTGGAAAAGCGCAACAATTATTAAAAACAGGGGTTTAGTTACACCCCAAGAAAGATATGTGAAAACTGAACTTGTTCTTTCTGGGGAAAAAAAAAAACAACAAAACAAAACCAAACAAAAAAAAACCCCACACAAACAAACAAAACCCCCCCAAAAAACCCAAACTATAAGCTACAACTTAGCAATGAGTACATAACACATTTACTACAGAAAAGTTTCATCAGTCATTTGTGTCACGTATCTGTAAGCCCCTGAATAAAAAAGCTCTGGGACTTTTTGTTTGGTCAAATTCATCAGACAAAAGAAGAAACTTAGAAAGTACACTCTAATTTACTTGTTTAGTTTTCTGCTTGGAATATGATGAAGGCAAAGAGCTTAATATAATTCTAAAAAAAGGCTTAAAGACATATCCTAGGAGCATAAGAAAAACATCTGCAATGCTAGTAGTTTGGATTAAGTGTCTCAGTGCTCAGAGACTTCATGCTTTAGGATAATAAGCTCATCCTGGGCAGTTTTTAGTGTCCACAAAACATCCAGCATTGATCATTGTCAGAAACGGTGCTAAACCACTAGTCTGCTCTGATACAACACTTGACATGTGTGGTGGGTTGACCTTGGCTGGACACCAGGTGCCCACCAAGCCGCTCTATCACTCCC